ACGTGTAGCTATTGAGCACCTGAGTGGTTCAGGCAACTAAGAAACTGGGTTTTTAATTTTACCGAATTTTAATTAATTTCAAGTTATACAGACACGTGTGTTTTTGGTAGGCCTCCCAAGGGATGGCCCAGGTGTGGAGCTCTGCTGCTGCCAAGTCTAAATGAGCCCCATTCTGCAGTCAGACTCCGGAATTAGGCACAGAGCCCCGGGGTCACTGTGGGGACCCTTCCCCCAGAGCCAGTTCCCACCAGAGCTCAGGCATTGAAAGAGACTATCAGGTCCCCTGGGGCAAGGCAGAGGGTGCTCCATACTTCCCGTCCCCTTTCTTCCTCAGTTGGGGGTGGGGAGAGAGGGGACAGGACCCAGAGTACATAATCATGCTCCCCTCCCCCAATGATTCCGACTCCTCCAGTCCCCTCACCATGACACCAGCGCCAGGATTTAAGGTCTCATTAGGCGTCCTCCCCGCAATAAAAGAGACCAAGGTAATAAAAAACAAAGGGGAGTGAGGGTGGAAGCAGAGCCCCACACAGGGGTTTGGCCCAGGTAATACCACTTCCACGGGCCTCCAGCAGGGCAGCCCAGTGAAAACCCTCACACTGAATCTTTCCCAATAAGCAACATATTGCGCCCAGAGCCACCTTCCAGACTACAGCCCCCATAGTGGTTCCTCTCATCTAATAAAAGGATTATTTCTCCTCTTATAGTCTCTCAAAATACCTCTAACAGCCTCTACTTTTCCTCCACTGCCTCTTATCAAGTGGTGATTTTTAATTTATTTGCTTAAGTGATTTTGCCTCTCCCTCTCCAACTATAATGTACATTCCCAAAGTACAGACCTGTGTCCCCCTTTTTCAGGACTCCAAATCCTGCCACTAGCATAGTGCTTGATGCGTACTGAGTACTTTATATATTAGGGGTTGACAAACTTTTTCTTTAAAAGGCCAGAGTTAATATCTTAGGATTTGTGGGCCAAATGGCCTCTAAACCAACAATTTAACTGTGGTTGTAGCACAAAAGCAGCCACAGACAAAAGGTAAACCAAACACATTTGTTTTTCCATAAAAAAAAACAGTTTTTATGGAAACCAGCATTGGGTCAGATTTGGCACAGTTTGCCAACCCCTGCTCTGTAACATGTGATAGAATACATCAACCAAATTCTCCCAACTGCACCTCCTACGTGCTCTCAAACATGCCAACTTTGCCAGTTCCCCTATCATCAGGCCCCAACTACCAGCATGAGTCATGAATTGATTCTAGCTCATATATGGACTTTCCAGACACCCTACTTATGGCCAATTCAGTTTCAATTCCCAGTACTAACATATATGGACTCTCCATTCATTCTTGTCCATCCTAAACTCCATGCTCAGCCCAGGCGTAGGTGTTTTGTCTAAATCACAAACACTCTGTCACTCTCCTACTTAAAACTGATTCAGTGGTGGGGCGCCTGCAGTCAGTAAAGCATCCGACTCTTGACCTCAGCTCAGGTCTCGATATCAGGGTTGTGTGTTCAAGCCCCACAATGGGCTTCACCCTGGGTGTGGTGCCTACTTTAAAAAATAAAGAAAATTTTAAAAAGCTGAAGGCTTCCCAATGGCCTTAGAACAAGGTCCAAAGTTTACCCCGGCCTTTAGGGCCCTGCCCGCCTCTCCAACCTGGCTCATCCATTCCACACTTTGTTTTCTCTACTTTAGCTGTCCCTCTTCTCTCAACTCCTGAAACACACCAAGCCTAGTCCTGCCTGAGAGGCCCTGCATCTGGAATGTTCTCTCAAATCTCCTCCCTACTCCTACTCCAAAGCCCAACCCCTTGTCTAGCTACATGCAGCTCATTTGGGGGATTCAAACATTTGTCCCCTGTAAGGGGTTTTTCCTGACCTCCTCCCCAAGTTCTCCTGCTCCATGTTTCCTTATCACCCTGGTCAATTTAAGGGAGGATAAAACCTCCACAGAGGCAAGTATTATATCTATTTCAATCACACTGTTTCCCCCTGTACAAGGCCCACATCATAGAGGGCATCCCCAATGGAAATGTGCCAAACAATCAACACTCCCCAAAAATAACTCAGCATAGCCAGCCTGAGGCATGCACCTGCAGACACACAGAACAACAATGTAACACCACAAAATCAAATATAAAAATGACTTAAAATGCCTGTTCGTATAACATAAATCAACACTAGCTTTCAGAAGTCTTTAAGAAACAATGTTAAGTCCAAGATGGCAAGGCAGAACCTGTGCTCTTTTTGACAAAACACCTCACTTGAAATCTGAAGTCTCCTTTTCTTCCAGAATTAATTTTTTTCATTTCTCAAAAGTTAGTTTTAACCCTATTTAAAAAAAAAAAAAAAAGACACTCCATTTATGACCAACTCAATTTCATTTCCTAGTACTAACAAAGGCATGTCATCTTTTTTCCTGGAGTCCCATATGTTTTTAAGCCTCGTGGTGATTCATTCACAGGCTTGGGGTAACCAGAGTGGGAACTGCCGGGAAAAGAACTGAATAATCTTCCTTTTCCTTGATGGTAAGACTTCTGACATAACTGGGAAATAGCTTTTCTTAAGATACCCTCATCTCGCAGTGAAAAACACTGATGCTCACAAATTAAAAGCTCTTTTAAATGAAAGAAAGGAATAAAGAGAAAGGAAAGGGAAAGGAAAAATGAAATGAAAGCTAAATTAACAGGCCCTAAGCTAAAGAACTACAAATAGTCACCAAAAAACTAAAAAAGAACAGCAACAACAAACTCTTGCCATCCCTTGATAGAGGGGACATTCCATTTTTTAAATTCACTTGACAGTCACTCAAACCAATAGGCACATGCAGACTCAGGACCTAACTTTCCAGTTGCAGGGCTAGATAACATGAAACGTCCTATGAAATAAAACGTGAATTACTAATAAACGGCTCCATGCATAAGGGAGGTACGGTAGTGTCCTACAAATCCGGGAGGATGGGTGAGGGCTGGGCCGGCTGGTGGCACATTTCTGAGCTGCGGGACCTGGACTGTACTACGTGATTTCCCTTTTGATGGATGGGCGACCGTCCTGTCTGCCGGGACAGGCGGTACCCGAGGGCAGGGGGCCGGGCCGGGGGTCAGGGGTGACGGCTGCGAGGCCGAGTGGTGCGGGCCCCATCCCGGCGCGGGGTGCCACCGCGGGGAGGAGGCGCCGCCGCACGGGCGGCGGTCCACGGCCCTCCGGCCCCTCCTCGCGCCCGCACGGCCCTCCCCGCCTTCCCGAGGGGCCGGGCCGCACCTGCAGATCGGCCGGAGACACTCCCACCGCAGCGCGCCGCGCGTCCCAGCACACCCGCCGCCGTCCGCTGCCGCCGTGCACTTCCGCTTCCGGCCTGGAGCGGAACTGGCTGGGGCTCCGGTTCTCGGGACTAGAGGAGCTTAAGGCAGTGACGGAAATGTTGACCCCTTCTTCATCCGGCCTCGGAGAGTAAATCCTAGTTTCCTTCCCCGCCGGGTGAAGTTAGGCCCTGGCATGGGGTCGGACTGGACCTTGAATGGGGCGGGTAGAGGTGGGTCCTGTGCCCGACTGACGAGGCTTGGCGGGGGAGGGGGGGGCGCGGCTAGGTTGATGGGCGGGGCCCGGGCTTGGTGGGCGAGGATAGGGGTGGGATCTTCCTGGCAAGTTGGGATGCTCCGTGTTTAACTTACCTTCGCCCACCTCCGCTTTGATCCTTTGGTTCAGCCCCATACCCGTACAAAAACATACCCATGGGTAAAATTCCTTTTTCAGTCTAATTTCTTCTAAAAATAGGATTATATATTTTATGTCTTCTACAACCTACTTTCTTACTAAAAATAAGATGTGAAAAAATGTTCAAGACAATAGAAAATCTGACTCTCCTTTTTAAAATCGAATATGGGGGCGCCTGGGTGGCTCAGTGGGTTAGGACTTGGCTCTTGGTTTTGGCTCACGTCATGAGCTCGTGGGTCACGGGATCCAGCCTCCCCACCCCCCCACTCCCCGTGGGGCCCTGCGATCAGCGTGGAGTTGGCTTGAAAGATTCTCTCCCTCTGTCCCTCCCCCAACTCGCGCTGGAGTGCTCTCTCTCAAATAAACAAATTTTTTAAATATTTTATTTATTGATTTGTCAGAGAGAGAGACAGGGAACACAAGCAGGGGGAGTGGGAGAAGGAGAAGCAGGCTTCACTCTGAGTAGGGAGCCGGATAAGGGGCTGGATCCCAGGATCATGACCTGAGCCCAAGGCAGATGCTTAATGAGTGAGCCACCCAGGCGCCCCAATAAATGAATTTTTTTAAAAACAAAAACTAATGTGTTTGGTATATAGTATACATAATACATACACATAGGAGTTCAAATGGGGGGGCGTCTCAATCCATCTCCAAATTTTCCCAGAAATAACCACTGTAACCAGTTCCCTGATAGTCTTTATATATCAAGCACGTGTGTATTATTTCTTTAAATAAATACTGATATAGCATCGTTGATTGCTACATGCTAAGTGCGAGGATTACAAAGTGCCGTCCTGCAGGGGTGTTCCAGGTGGAGAATTGGAGGGGAGATATGGAGAAAGAGATGAGGTTGATCCATTCCAGTAAAACTAAGTCAACACGTTGTAGTATGTGCTATGTTAGCGGAATTTGAAAAAAAAAAAAAAAAACTGATAAGGAGATATGGAGGCAAAATCAAGAAATTTGGTATGATTGAAAGTGGGTCTTGAAGGATGAATATCAAGCCATGGAGATGGTTATAGGAAATGTTGCAAGTATGGGGTATCGTGTAAGCAAGAATACAGCAGCATAGGGGAAATACACATTCTGGGAATACTGAATAATGTGTTATGGCTAGAAATTAAGGGTATGTGTGTGTTATTGTCACAAACATAGACAAATAGATCCAAGACAAAACAGCTCAGAAGCAGATTCAGGCATATATGGACATTCAGTATGTGTTAGTATTTCAAGTCAATGGGGAAGGGAAGCTGTTGGGACAATTGGCTAAAGGATTAAGTTATTAGATCTCTATTTCCCATCATTCACAAATAATTCCTTTATATTCTACATGTTCCAAAATCTCACTATGATCTACTCAGTAGGCTTGTTTAATATAGAAACGAATGTGTTTCAGCTCTAGGAAATTGTTTTATATTATTTCCTTGAATAATAGCCTCCTTTCTGTTTGGTTTTTTGTTTCTTTCCAAAATTCCTTAAACTTTATGTTTTTGGTCTCCTTGCAGATTGTCACGACTTTATATCTTATCCTTCTATTGAATTTTTATGTTGGCTGCCATAACTTTAATTTCTTGAAGCTCTTCTTTATTCTCTGAAGATTCCCTTTTTCCCCAACTATTCTGGTTTCATCTTGTTGAAAATACAAATTAAAAGTCTGTTTAAGAGTTTTTGTTCCCAGAATTAGTTTGGACACTATGGAATCTACCTACTGCTCACATTGTCAAAACTAGGAATCCACTGAGGTTGCAAATTAATCTGCAGCCTCTGCAGCTGTAATTCTGCTATCTGCAAAATAAATTCTCAGGTTAGTTTTAGAGTTATTTCAAACTTGAGGCTATAAGAAATAAGAGATTGGGTGGTTCAGCATTCACAAATCAATCAATGTGATAGAACACATTAATAAGAGGAGAGAGAAGAATCATATGGTCCTCTCAATTGATGCAGAAAAAGCATTTGACAAAATA